GGTTACTATTTGACCTCACCTACTTGTTAGTATAGCCTGCATCACAGGAACCTAGTCAGATTTACAGCTTTTAAGTAAGCCATATAAGAGGGGGAAAAAAACGTACCGAAGTTAAACCTGTTAGAGATGACATAATGCTGAAGAAAGTTATTTTATACTTTCAACAGCTCAGGCATCTGTATTCATGGAGTAGCCTCCTCTGCTTCACCTTTTTATGGCAGTCTCCACTAAGGGTGAGTTAGTCATGCTACAAAGCCATGTTACAAACAGATGTCCTTCTGTTGTAAAGTGATTTCTTTAGGTTTGAGACCCAGTTAACTACTTTTGTCAGTACTGGATAGCGAGGAGGCTCTGCCTGGCACGGTGAGGCATGGGTCCTCCCTGGTTCCCCTGGGGCTGCAGCACGCTGTGCGGGTTTGGAAGCGAAGCCATTTCCTGTCCCTCCTCGCTTGCAAACCGACAAGTCAGGTGGCTGTTTCACTTTCTGTTTCACTAAGAGTGAAGAACAGTTCAAGATGTGTATAAATTAACCTCTGATATCCCATTTTGCTTACTGTAGTCAAAATAACTTTTAAATCAGTTACTGGAGGCTCTTCATTCTAACATTTCTTGCTCCTGCAGTTGGTTTTCGTGGTTCGCTGTCTGATATTCCTTTGACTCTGGAATCGGGTTGGATCTGCTTTATAGACTGCTGGACTGGTGTTGCAGCACAGCTGTACTGTAAAGGAGGCGTTTAGCAAAACAAATTGTTCGGCTACATTCTCAAAATACCAACCTACAATATGACTAATACATAGACAAAAAAAATTACTGTTCTGTGTTCTCTCTGTTAGAAGACTCTGCAGTTATGTGGTTGGAATATAATAACCAATATGAAAATAAACTGTTTCCTCTAGGTATTTTCAAAAGCAGGTTGCCACTTGAGCAGCTATTCAGAGCACTGTTTCACTTACAAGCTTTAGGACTAAAATTTGTTAAGATTAGTCCAAGGTAAACTATACGTACCTCCTGCAGGGACAGGGTGCTCAGCATGTTGCTAGCTGTTTGCAGTTAAACTCTGTACTGAAAGTGTTGGCCCTCACTCTTGGAAGCATTTAATAAATTTCAGCCACAGTGGGTTTGTAGGTCTTTATAAAGCTCACAGACCACATTTTCTTATCAGCCTGCTAAATTATAATCAATGATGTATAGTTTTTATTTTTAACAATTTACAATGTAAACCTAAGTTTGCATTTGCAATTCTGTTCTAATAGTCTAGCCCAGGCTAAACTTTCTTAAGCAGCAATTCACGCTAGTGGGATTAATATGAATAAAACCAACACAGGTTGGATGTTAGGTGCTACATGATGAGGTATTTTGTATTTGCCATCTTCATCTATTACAGCTTGGTTTATAAAAATGTGTTTTGAGGCCTGACATGGCTTAAAACAGTTGTCTTGTCTGTGGAAGTTTTGCTTTGATTGGGGGCTGGACTAGATGACCTACAGAGGCCCCTTCCAACCTCAACTACTCAATGATTCTACAAGTTGTAGAAAACAAAGTGTTAGCTGCGCAAATTCCCTAAATATTTTAGTGAATGGAGCATCATTTACTTTATCTCTGTATGTAGTTTTAGTAGAAATAAAATGCTGTGTGTTTGAATCCATGCAGTACCTCAGGTCCTCGAATCACCACAGGAAGATGCTTGGCAATGCAATGATACCTCCTCCTGTGCTGTGACTGCTCAAGGGGTAGTGTCAGTAGATCTTAAAATACAAGTCAGCAAGGCTATCATCCTCCTTTTTGCATGAAGTTGCCTGAGTAATGGGTAAGCTAGCAGAGGTGATTGTTTTCTTCATCCACCTCCTGCCTAGCTTTACTCCTGCCTGCTCAGTACAGTTCATTGAGGAGGAAAAAGCCAGCTATACTTAGCTCAGCTTTCAGCAAAGGGGAAACCTTAGTTGCCGTGCCCATGGGCAAGAAGACAGATGGGTAGCTGGTGCTGAGAAATGTGATAATCATGTATAGAACATGACTACTGGTTTTTGTTGTTGCTCAGTACTTTATTATTCAGTCCTGTGATGTGCTTGATGCCACAGTAAATTCCTTTTCTCAGTTAATAGAGGCGCAGCTTATCTATAACATGTTGGGAAAATGCAAACTGGCCTTGAAAACAGAACTGCTATGCTATGAATTCTGATGGGAACAGTCTCAGTTCTGTTATTTTTAGGTCATGAAGATAGTAAACCAGTAGCCTCATAATCTGTAAAAATGCTAGTTTTTTTCCAGGGGATGACCAGATGTTGCATGCATGATTGGATCTCTTTAATCCCAAGAAAAAAAATCCCAAAAGAATGTAAAAAGGGAAGAATTACGGAAGGTCAGTACAATCTTGTAACAATCCTGACTAAAGACTGGTCACTGTAAATGACTTAGCAAATAATGAAGTGTGGCAGTTCTGTAAGTATAACTATGTCTGCCTTTTCTTTTTAGGAGTGCAGTCTCATTTTTCCTTAGGAGCATGAACTTTTCAGTTACAGAAAATGCCTTCATTTTTAAAAGCTACAGTTTAATTTCATAATACCGTGATGTTACTATCATTTCTACTGGTGAAAGTGTAGGGTTTTGCGTTCATTTGTTTGTATATAGCCTGGGCTATACCAATTTAAAGGCAAAAGTGGGAAGAAAACAGAGTGTAGATGTACATATTACGGTGTTGCCTGTTAAGAGTGGGTGGATGGGAGGGGATGCAGTGCCAGAAGGGAACAGTTAGGGGCATTTTCCTCGCATTTTTTTCCAGATAACACTTCTGTTTATATGAAGTTTAGCAGTAATACACTTCTCCCTTTTACCAAGTTGCCATACAGATGCCCTTTAGATAAGGCCAGAAATTTTTTAACCAAGTTTTTATAACTGGATTGCTTCAGCAATTTGGGATTCCTTAACTGGTTTTCATCCAAACTCCTCTTAACAGTTCATTTGGTCTATTCACCCAAAGAGGTTTAAATGCATCTTATCTCTATAAATTCAAATTATGTTTTGAGAAATTAGGTGGCAAGAACAGCATAGAGCAGTTGAAAAGTGATGGCAAGTCATTGCATTTTGGGATACTGTGACTATCGTATCTTTGTTAGGACAGCTCTAAGTTTGCCACACAGAGCAGGCTAACTGCCAGATACTGCTTTACCACTGCTCATAGGGCTATTTTTAAAGAATTATCTTAATGCTTATTTTGGTTTTGAGTAAGAGAGGCTTTTACCTGACATTCTCAAGCTCTTCTCTCTAATCCTAAAGGCCAGCCAGTGCTGTGTTCTGTGTTTTGGTTTTTTTTAAGTGGACAAGTCAAATGGTTTTATGTCATGCTGAAGCTTCTGTAGCATGTCTTGTCCAGTGCCCTGATGGCAGTTCTAGGGTGGTTACCATGCAAGCACACACAGACTCAGAAGGCTTTGCTGTTATGTGCCTGTGTGTCCTTCCTTGCTGCATTTAAGCAGGAAAATAGCAGTTTTCCAGAGGCTACAGAGAGGAGCAGTTGGCAGCTTATGTTTTACAGAAATGAACATGCCATGTCTGGTGGAGCTCTGCCATCTATTGCTCAAAAAGGAGGGAGGCTTAGCCCTAGGCTGTGATGTGGGAGGGAGTGTGAAGTTTTGTACCCAGCAGCTTGGGCCCTAGGGAGATGGTGGATTAGTACACTGTTTATTCCTGCATAGTGGTTTCTGGGAAAGTTCTCCTCAAAAGCAAAAGTCAAGAGCTTGTTCAGCACACTGGAGTGGGGTGCTCTGCCCAGGCACACCAGGCCAGGACACAGCAGCCTCTTTGGGTTATGACCAGAGAACTGGATGTTTCTCAATTTTCCAAGAGCTTCCTTCCCACTGTAGTACTGTCTCTCCTCCTGGTCCCTGGAGCCAGGCTTGTTCTGAATCAACATCTGTCAAAAAAATAAAAAAGCTTTCCAAATTATTTAAATTTAAGAACCTGTAGGCTCATTTTAGTAGTACTCACACTTCCCTTTTTAGGGTCTAAGGTTCAGCTGATACCTGCAGCCAAGCATGATAGCTGATAATCATACACACTCAAAAGGGTATAGCAATAGTTCTTCCTCCAGTCTTCAGTGCTGTATCCTAGGAATGAGATGTTTATTCATCTTCACTGCAGTACCTATCAGATACTACAACCAAAAAAACCCAATAATTCTGCACACATTTAAATATCCTCCTTTTGCCTAGTAGGACAGAATGCTTTCCTCAACATTACCATCTTACACTTCTAAGGTAACTTTAAAAAAAAAAAATCCTCGTATTTTTTGTTTTGGCATCTCAATACTTACATTTTCAGCAGATTTGTGAAGTTCAGAAAAATGAGTGAAGTCAGGCGATCATTACAGGGCTTTGAATTTCTTGCTCAGAACTGAACTGCCAACTATAAGTTATTTCTAGAAAGGTTTTTAAAATCACAGTAAACTTTTTACTAATATCAACATGAAAATTTTGGAAGTCAAGCAAGAAATTGTTACAGCTGCAAAAGAAACAGATGTGCTCAAAAGTTTCATATGAATGCAGCAATCCCAAACATCTCAGCGCATTCCACATCATAAATTCAGCTGTAGTCACAGTAAAATGGAGAACACATAGTGAAATTTCCATTAAATTCACAGCAATTTCATAAAGGATGAAATTCATAAACAGAACCAGTCATAAGCCATTGAGTGGTTTTGCACAGCAAAACAGTACATTGCAGTGTAACTGTTACATCAAAATTTCATTGCTTTCAGCTACCTTTAGATGGCATTTAAAATAATCACAACAAAGAAATGTGTCTTAGCTGTGCTGCATTTGAGTGCAACCTTTAGATTATCATTTAATGAAACAGACAATTTAAATTTCAGATTTACACTGGCTATTATTATTATGATTTAGATGAGGAAGGATAGAGATCTTTGCTAGATGTTAGCTAGCTGGAGTCTATTCCTTGGTCTTCTGCTTCTGGTTCAGGAGGATACAATTCATCCAAAATCAGCTCTGCAACAACAACAAATCATCTTTCTGAGTCATTTTTCTACTTGATATAGTATAATTACAGCTGGTATCTGTTTGCATTTTACAACCCACTGACTGTAGAAGGCTACAGCAAATATCCTTTTCCAGGGTTCTTTGCAAACAGGTCTTTAGATACGTGTTTTGTCATACAAACTTCTCCTCCTCTTTTCTTTAATGTCTTTAAGCATTACAGGAGACAACCTCCTTGGGCAGTCAATTAAATTTAGCTATTAGTGGAAAAACAGTAAACAGCACTTTGTTATTTTGCAACTAGTTCTGAGTACTTATTAAGTTTAACACCTCATTTTTGTTAACTAATTTTAAAAAGTCACTAGGACAAAAGCATGGTATTTTGTGTTTTAAAGGAAGAACCTGAATGCTAAGTACAGGTTTGCAAGCACACGCGTGCACTGCCATCCCCAATATCACAAGCTGTTACACTGTTTTGGTCCATTCCCAAGCATAACTAGACAAGGTGTTATGCAAAGTTCTAGAAAACCTTGGGACACTCTAAGCAATCGGAGTAGAACAAATACAAGGCACACTGTTTATCATCTCCAGAAAAGTCCCTGTAACTAATAGTGGCGTGCTTGCGTGACCTGCCTTACTGATGCAATACATACACCAACAATGAAGGATTTATCACTCTGGCTCTGAATAAGACTGGATGCTTTGTCTGAAATCTTGTAGCAAGCCACATACTGACATAAGAGCACAATCTTCACATCAGCTCTACAACTAGCATGTAAATAATGCCACGAGTGAATGAAGAAATGGCATCAAGGTACAAGGAAGAGAGGCAATTTCATGAGATTATCACTCTCTAGGAAATGGACACCAAAAGTGTGCAAAGCAAGGGGCAAGTCCTGGTGGACAGAGGCTAGAGAAGCTTTTGGGGTAATGGAGGAATGCTGGGGGTAGAAGAGGAAGAAGAAAGAAAGATGTTAAGGATACAGGGGAGAAAACAAACAAATGCAAAGAAAAGGTGTACTGCTAGTTGGAGACTTGCAATAATGATTTTTTTTTTTTTTTTTAAGATAAGGTAATGTATAGTGCAGATTGTTCTGATAAAGAGAGCTGGAGTATAGGATTTTGTCTGATTAGATAGTAGGGGCATATTTCTATGGAAAGAAGAACAAGATAAAACTACTAAAGAAGAATAGTAGTAAATTAGTGATTCAGTATAATGAAGACTGAGAAGCACTAGACTACAGACTGCCTTCAGAGGTCTAAGCAACAAACATCCATGGTATTTGGTATATCATACTTGTTAAATGAGGAGAGGGACAGAAGTGGAATTTCTATTTCTACAGCATGGAAAAAAGCCAACATTATCATTTGACTCATTTTACCTTCACAAGCACTCAATTTTTGGGTCTTTTTGAGAATGGCTCTTATGCCTGGCATGGCTTGGTCATATTGATGGAGAACTTCCAAACAGTGTTCATGAAACAGTTTGTCTTTCTGAGATACACTGTGTAAGAGTAAAACAGCATCCCGTAAAAACTGAATAATTTGTTCCTTATATGCACACAAGCTGTTGTCAGATCTTCTAATCTTCATCCACTGTCTATGTAACATTATAATTAGTGCCTTAACCACCTGCAAGAAGAAAAAAGTGCCTCAATACACAAAGTAAAATTACAGTAGCAGAAAACTTATTTCATTATGAACTTTACTGATTAATCTCTTCAAACTTCCAAATTTCAGAATATTTTCCAGCAAGCAAAAACAAGCTTCCTAGAAGGTGGCATCCTTTAAAGTACAGTACACTTCTGTTTCGTTGTAGCTACAAAAAGGGACAAAAAGCTATTTCAGCATGGAGTACCTTTAAGTTCTCAGTAGATTAAACTCAGCCACTGTAGTGACGTACCTCAAGATTACATTGGCAGTCTGTACCAGGTAATAAAACCACTGGACTGGAACACCGCATACACCTTGTCAGGAGTCTAACTGTCTATTACAAAAACACACAGATCGCATTATAATGAGTACTAGGGTTCTGCAGAATTATCAATCAAGCTGCAAATAAAGGGAAGGAGAAGTGAAACTTCATTACTAGTTCCAAACATTCTTTTTTTTTTATGAAGTTGATATTTTTCACCCTCAAAAATTGTTAAAGTTTTTTCCCCTCTAAAACCTCACAGATATGGAATTTGCCTTGCACCGAAACCTTTTCAACTTTCTGATGAGAAAGGCTAACAAGGTGCGGTGGTCCTTAATTCACTGCGTGCAAATAGCATGTTTATGCTTAATATAACAAGGTAGGTAGGGGAATAATGAAAATGGTTCAAAATTCAAATGAGAGCAGAAGTGGAGCAAATAGTAGAAACTCAAACAAGTCACCACCGTCAGTACAAACAATACAAATTAAGTTCAAAAGCTTTTCTTTTTATATAATCATGACAGTTATACAGCAAACTAGCATTTCCACTGAATACAATGAATATAATCCTAAGTCACTACAGAGTGCCTTTTATATGTAGTGACTCATAAGATACAATTCAGAAGTAATTAAAACAATCAAAATGAATCATAGATCTTGCTTCCTTTTACTCCTCTATTGATCTAAAAGCAAAATAAAGCTTAGTGTTAAACATTTACAGCCATCCTAGGATCTTTCTTGCTTTTTCAGTAACTTAGTATGACTATTAACTATTATGACTGATGTTCTCTTTAGGAATAGTTACTGATTCAGTTTCAAGCAGCTACTCTTAAAAATCAATGTAATCCCTTACTGCAAGCCAGTTCTTCCAGTATTCTGTTTCGGCTGGAGGAAGAACTTGTTTCTGGGCAATTTCTGCATTGCCCTGTTCCTCCTACTCCCCCAACTGGAAATAGCAGGAAAAAGCACATGAACAAACAGATATGGTTACCTCTTGTTCCAGCTGAAGCCAAAGCTTTTCAGATGCTGATTTATCTGGTCTTGATGTAATATACATGTACAGTGCAAGGAGGAGGCAGGTGTCTGAAACAGAGATAACTTTTTTCTTTTCCCAACTGGTCAATTGTTTATGACAAAAATGAATTTTGTCATGCAAGAAAACATTTCAGAAAATGCAAGGAGTGCTATCCTGGGACTCATGATATAGGCTTAACTTCTACTTCAAACATCTTAAGCAGTGATGAAGAAACTAGTACCCCTAAACTGTATATATGTGTTTGTGGTAATACTGTCCTACTTCATAAGGAACTAGACAAAGACTTTTGTCATGCAGAGTACTGGAATCCTTAAACTCAACAGTGTCATGAGTGCAGATAAATTAAACTTCAGAACACCTCAAAAGCCCTTTTTTCCTCATCAACCTTTAATATTATAAACATTAATCTGGAAAGTAATTTTAAAAATCCACATGGGTATTGAAAGCACTATTATCTGTAGACAGATACCACAAGACAAAATATTCTTCAAAAATAACTGACACACTGCACTAGAAAACAGGTTTTCAGGTAACATAGCAGGCTTTATGCCTTTCGGGATTTTAACACCTTGGAGCAAGGCCTGTTTGCATTCCTTTTAGTCATGCTAACTGACATTGAACTGGTAACAGTTCTCTGTGTTATGCAGTCTTTTACCTGAATGAGAACAAAGTTGAGCAACCAACATGTGGTGTTGAGCAAGAATAGACAACAGTTTCACGGTCAAAAAGACAGCAGGCAAAGGGGTCTCTGGACATAGACAACGGAGCAGTATCTGGCTACTCAGTAAGTGCTGAAAACTTCAAAAGAAAACTCAGAGTTAGAAATGGGAAATGCACTGGCAAGTTCAAAATACAGTATTTCTTGTACACAGCATCGTAATTTGTGCCTTTTTAGCTGTTCAAAACATTACCTGATACCAATTTACGTGTCATAAATAGAAAGTATACTGAAAAACATGCTCTTGTTACATTTGGCAGTCAGTCTGCAATTCATACTACGGTTGTGTATATTAGACCATTAGCAGATGAAATGTCTCACTTTTGAGAGTGTTATTTTACGTACCAGAATGAGACCCTGTGCTTTCATTCCTCATGCATCTCCCAGCAATCGCAAAAAACCCAGAATGAATGTTATAGACATTCTGATCAACTGCATATGGCCTTAAGAAGTTTTCTCACTTTCAAGTGACAGCTATGCAATGAGGCAACAGCATCTGCTTCATATAAACATCATAAGCACATCTTGTTACTGATCAGGGGTGATTATCACATTCATTAGCAGCAAAGGCAGCAGAATGATCCTCAACTTCTTCTCAAAGATGAGCTGAGAAATGTGATATTCTCTCGTACATGTCAAAACTTCTACTGTCATCTGCACAATTAGTTTCAACAGAGAATGTAAATTGCTAAAGAACAGTTTGAAATAATTTTAAAGCTATTACTGACTTACTTTATTAGCAAGTCCATTGTTGAATTTTCAGCTAATTTCAACAAAACTTTTAGGCTTTGGTTCAGTATACTATCAGTCTGGGAGCCTCGTGCAGCAGAAAAAGCCAAAACCTGAAGCAGCTTTTTAAACAAAGAATGTTGAGCTTGATCATTATTGGGAGCATCCTGTGGAGCTACAGGCAGCCCTCCTTGTGTCCTGGTATCTTCTTTATGATCACACTGATTATCACACAACACATTTTTGTCCATGTTGGAAACCTGTTCATCTCCAGCAGCAGAACTTTTTTCCACTTCAGTAGATAACAATGTGTGGACAACATCCCAGCTATAGAATGCCAAATAATAAAGAATACCCAGTGATATAGCTGTAGTTTCTTCAAGAGACAACCTGAAGTCCTCCTTACTTGACATCACATTTGTGTTGGTTCCAGGAGAAATAGCTGAATGGTTTCCACAAGAACTATTTACTGACTTGTCCGCCAACTGTACAGCTTGACAGTAGGCACCAATATGGTGTTCTACCAAGGGCAAGAGATGCACGGCACCTCGTATCTTACAGCGTGTGAGGTGCAAGAACTCTCTCTGGCTTTCTGTTGAGCTTCCTTCAGATAATCCTTCATCCATAGCAATCAAGTTCAATCCTGTTATTGCAAGTTTTTGAGCTTCTCGCAGAGGTATAAGAGGAGCAATTTTTTCTTGAGTTGTCCTGCTGCTGGGTAGTTGTGTAGACTTCCTATCCAAATAAAATTAAAAGAAGGGAAATACTTCAGAAGAAAAGGTGGAGAACATAGTTGAAATTTGAGTTACCCATATTCTGAATCAAATAATAGAAAGGCTAGAGTAATAAGAGACGTCTGTTCTCAACATAAAATGTAAATTGCAAAAAAAAAAAAAAAATCCTACGCCTTGATACCTGCATGGAAGAGCAATTTCAAAGCATTCCTAGGTCTTGTGAAAGTATTCACAGCTTACAGCTAAGTAACTTCAGCAGCTCACTATAAGCCATTGTCTGAAACTACTTTTAAACATTGGCTTTCTGACTTCATGCTTTTGATAACCTGTCATATATTCTTATCTTCCCCTGATGTTATTTGGTAGCTTCTTGGAAGAACGAGTATCTGTATATTACTGATCTGTAATATGTAGGGGCCTTTAAAGGACAACAACCACCAAAAAATTATTTTCTTGGAGGCAGGAAGAGAGAGACAGATAATTCAGCTATTAACTAGTCAAACTGCAGCTACAAAGGCCAAATGCACCACCTCTACTTGCATAAATGGCAAGAGCAATGAGACACGCGCCTTACTATGAACCCACAAAACACAAAAATTACTAGTAACATATCAGAAAAGCAAAGGTATTTCAGGAGCTACAGTCTCATTCTTTAAAGTAAAAAACTACTATAATTTATATCCAATATTCATATTCAAAATGCTTTACCGGTCACTATAAATGAATCTCAGATAATTGCATGTAAATTGTACAGTATAAATTGAACATAGTTTAGACTTTGAAGATATAAAGCCTACTGTTCTTTTGATCACATTTTCAACATTTTCTTCCCACTCAACTCATGATCATGTTTATATGCTTCCCTCATTGCAATGCCAAGTTTTATGTCCTTAAGTGGTTAACAATGGCAGTTGCTAACAGTCACTCCCAGGTTTTACAAAACATGTTTCTGTGCCTTCCCCTAACATATAATTAACTACTTTCTCTCTTAGTATTGTTCCACTGTTTAGTATCTATGATAATCAAAGATTAAAAATCAAAGATAAGAATGATGTTCCAAATTTTGCATTAAATGGTCTAAGCAAAGCAGCCTTTAACACAAGGAAGAGAAGGAGCTATCCTACATAAATAAGCATTTCTTAGTATAGAGAATGCCACTATACAAAGAACATGTCAGATATAGTTTAACAAAAAAAAACCCAAAACCACCAAACAAAAACTTACGTATCCAAATAGTTAGGCTGCAATACAGCTCCAGGCAGAGGCTCAGAGTTACTGCTAAGAAGATGGCAGAGTCCTAGTAATGACCCAGGGACAATGGGTTGCTTCATCAGTGCATTTAATAAGATAGAACCTGAAAGGATAAATAATTGTCTTTGGAGTAGCTTTACCATGAACTGCAGCATCAACAACAACTAAAAATTAACCTTTCAAAAGATTAGCCTTATTTATAGTGCTCTCAACCTCAAAATAATTTTTTCATTACAAATCTTCTTTCTCTACAAAAGAATGAATTTTTCAGAAAAATGAATTTAAGATATGATTTAAATATTAACCAAATTATATTTAGAGATATTTTAATTACAATCCCATATTAGCAAAATAGCTCAAGCCAAATGATCGTATATCCCAACTATCCTGATAGTGCCCTCCATGTTCGAGTCCAGACATTAAGATTATGTGATGCATTTCTATTCTGAATTGGAAATAAAATAGTACCCTGAAGACTTCCTGGTGTTGACTGTTGTAAATGTCACTTTATTGTTTTTACCTTCATTTAAAAAAACAAAAAAAGTACATTTTTCCTGTTTTTATATCGGTTTACAATAAAAAGCATAATATATTAATACTGAAGGAGCCAGCCTTGTAATAAGATGCCTCTTGATCCATATCCTTCCATAAAGCAAAATCTAGGCAAACTTTTTTCTTAAATAGAATAACAACATAAGCATGTTGTTATTATTTTGTATCCTAATATAATCTGCAATGTTTTACTGCAAAATCACAACATTCAAAGTAAAAAGCAATTGGCTGAACACCACTATTCTGTGCAGTGGCACTGTACATAGCAGGCTCCTCAACATGACACTGCTTAGCAAAGGCATCTGAGCTGTTCCTCAGAAATGCTCACTATTTCTACAATAACAGAATTCAGTTACCTTGTGAGTTTCGTTTAGGTACAGAGTTGTAGGAACCGTTTTTTCCCACTGCTTCATGCTTCATGGATAAAATTTCAGGATGGGTTATCTTACTGTCTAAAACAAACAGTAAGTATGAGTCTAATATGAGAACTACATTGCTTATATATCTCTGTACCTATCCTTTACACACATTCAGTTAGCCATAGCTGTTATATAGTAAGTAAACAGACAGTAGACCAGTAAAAAACATGTCTTGTATAACTCAGATACATCAAAGAATAGTTAAGAGCTGTGATGCAAGTAGAATTGCTCTCCAAAATAAATTAGAAAAGTGAATAAAATTTCACCTTTACTGTCAGATGTTCCACAGATTGTTCAGTGCTATTGCTCTCAACTTTTCTTTTAGAACAAAACAATACCTTAAGTTGAATTCCCACTATTAGCAGAGATTTACACGACTACGTTAGTTAAAAATCAACACAAAATTAAAAAAAAAATTAAAAAAAAATTTGAGCATTTCATAATCCTTAAATCATCTATATATGTAACAATTACTAGCCAAACACCTTGCAGGGTTCAGAAGACAAATAATCAAGTGTGTTTTTCAAACAGACAGGCATATTGAGTGTTGTTACCTTAACAAACAGCCAGGAGCCTGAAAAAATAGCAATACTAATGCTTTAAGGCTACTGTATTTTTCTTTTTGATGGAGTTCACACTGCCCATACAGTTTCAGACTGAATACTGTAACTGACAGTAACATCTCAGATTTTTCATGACTGTAAAGGATTAGTTGACAATATCCTAATTCCTTCCGTTTATTATTTCCAACATGGCAGTCAGCTGCCATAAAAAACCCACCCTTTTTGTTTCATATTATAGCAATCTTCAAATACATGCATATATTCATTTCCTAAGCTTTACTCAATGAATTTCAAGATACAATTTTGTGAGAATTACTGCCCTACACATAAAAGAGGAAATGAGTATACTGTTTCAGTTGCTTCTTTCAATACAGCTAAATATGTAGCTTTTAAAATAAAATCCCCAAGAAGGTCAGCTTTAAAGCCAAAACCACAATACAAAAATGCATTAACTGACTAACAGACCAATTCAAGAAATAGGCAAATTATTTCCTGTTCTTCTTTATTCAACGAGAAAGGCAGATTAACAATTTTGATATTTTAGTTCATCACATAATAAATGAAAATTTTTCATTACAGCAAATAGCCACTTCATCATTGACATCCTAGCATCTGGTATATAGCCATTACCAAGGTGTGAATTAAAATGATCTTGATGCAAATTTCAGTCATAGCTTTTTAACGCCAGTTGATATCAAAGGGGAAAGAAATTTAAGTAAAAACAAAATAAAACAAATACTTGTTTTTCTCTACAGTGAACTTACGGAAACTGTTCAGTCACATAGTACGAAAATCCTCATCTAAGGCAGAATGTTCATATGCAGCTAAAAATGTTACAAGTTTTATATGGGTTTACCTTCTTTGATCAAAGTTGTCGGGGCAATCAAATTTCCTGAAGAACATGATGGTCTAGTGGACATTTCAGCATTGAAGGATTCCTTTGTAGGAAAAGATCTTTTTCCAGGCTGTGGTGAACATCCTTCTGATTTCACTTGTATTGCAAAATTCTTTTTAGGGCTAAAATAAAAATCAAACACTTAGATGAATCAATATTTCTTTTGTAATTATTTTATTAAACAATAAACAAGGATCTAGGTACATTGAAGTTTTAAAGGCACTTCACTACAAACTCTTTGCATTTCTGTCACAGATACAAGGAATGCTCTTTTTGAACAAATTCCATAGAGGTCAACAGACTTCTTTGGTTGTATTTTTTAAAGACGACAGAGCTAAGAGCTACATGAAGAAAGAAAATTTCTTTAATAGTTTAACTACACATTTTCTAAAAAGGAACACAAATTCATTTTCCAAAACTCCCACCTTGGTGTTAAAACTGTCTGAGTAACATGTTTATTTCTTTCACAGTTCTGAAGTCGCGTTCTTAATTCATTCATTTCTGCATCTTTGAACTGCAACTCTGACTGTAATGACAGTAACTGAAAGAGGAATTAAAAAGACAATTTTACTGTTACCAAATAATTTAGAGGCGTTATAACCACAGAGCAACCAGAATTACCTTAAGATTTCAAGATTATCATCTACTTACTGTGAACTCTGCATAAGATCTCCATTTTTATGTATGCTAGTCCAATTAATACTATCTTAGAACCAAGTGCCGGAAGTTCAGGCAAGAAGCGTATGACTTGTTAAGACAGACCACGTGCCATGCACAGCATGACTACAGTGAGGCCGTTAACAGCAGAGTAAACAGGACAAAAGCAGCCACTGTCCTCTTCAGGGCTTTCAGAAAGACGACTGCAACAGGAACAGCAGTCTGATCAGAGTCAGCGTCAGAATGTGCTTTATTTTTTCCATTTTTAAATACATTCCAATTTTAATGTTCTTGGGATTTCTTATTAAAAAAAAAAAGCAACAAGTAAAAGAAAACCTCTACCACTTGAATTTTACTCTTTTGTTTTAGCAGAAGAAAACCCTCAGCAAGTTCTTACAAATGCTTTCTTCTAGATAAGAAAAATAAAAGCATATATTGTTTGGAAATTTCACACAAATGTTCTTCCTTTGATTAGATGGTCTGTGACATCAGCAAGTCATAAAATTAGCTTCTGCATGTGACGTGCAGGTAATTGACATATTTACAAACCTTTTTGGAGAACTCTTTTTCTTTTTCACTTAAGGTCTGAGATTTCTGCTGTTCCAATAGCATGTATGATCTTTTCTGTTCCTCCATAGCATACTCCATCTGCTGCATTGAGTCACGCAAAATTTTAATTTCTCCATTTTTAGTAAGAATTTCATCCTGCATTTCTTTCAGCTGCAAAGAGATGAATTCCATTAAAGGATGTATATAATCAAAAGCATGTATTTGTATCATTATGTGTTTGAAAATTAGGTATACTTATACCTTCTTCAGAGAAAAATGCTCCTGTAACCCAGTTCAGAAATTCTGCAATGCTGCTTCTCATCTTTTTCTGATTAAATCAGGTTCAGCTACTGTTTTCTCTAATAGAATTATAAAATGACAGCAAAGGCATGTCTGACAGATACCAGGATGGTATATGAAGAGACCATTCTTCTCTTTCCCCTTCTCTGTGATTATGTTCTTTTTTTGAGAAGTATTCTACTCACGAACACCAATAATGTATTCATTGTTTGGATGATACCAATGATAATTTAATTATAATATTTCATCTAGCATGGCAGCCAACAAGTACGCTGTCCTAAGACAAGCTACTACCCCCAGACAGTATCTTCACAACATATATATAGTCTCTAATACTCCCTGAACAGCCATCACCATTCAGAGACAAGATTTTGGAAAGATAATAAATTAGTCACTCAGAAAAGCATGGAGAAAAAAGCAGAAAAACATCCCTATACCAGTACATAAAATTATGGTTTACCCTCATGTTGAATATGGTGTACAGGTGGGAGTTTCCCCACTAAAGAAGGGTATGATAGAACTGGAAAAGATTCAGAGAACAGAGGTAAGGATGATGACAGAAAGGTAAATAGGGTAGGACCTCCCACCTGGGAGAAAGCACAACTGTGAGAAAACAAAGGTCTGTCGAGGTGTGAGTGCTATGCGCAAGTTATTCCTTCCTTACTGCTTCTTAAAACAGCCAAGGCACATCCACCGAAAATCACTACGTGCAAAGTTCAAAATAAAGTCAAAGAAGAAATTTCCTGACACAATGTGTTGTTAAGCTGCAGACCTCTTTCACATGAAAAGCATCAAAGAACAACTATACAAGCATTTAAGAAAATCTACTATAGAATATTAAACACATGTATAACATTTCTGGATCAGGATATGAAATTTTACATTAAATTTTACCAGAGGCTACAAGAACATTCTGGTAAAATATCATAAACTTGCTCGAGTCTTCTATTTTTCCTAAGCTGTCTGCCAAAGAAAGGATGGACTTGGTACGGGCATTTGTATGTTCTTACTTTTCCGCACCTATTTCTTACCCATAGTATCTTTCTGTAAGGGATCATCAGAAGGTAAAGTAATATAACACACCTTAAAAGTCACTGTACTTTCTTAAAACTTTAAGCTGCACAAAACAACACTTGCTGACTAGCTGACAGGACAGACGAGAATGGATTTGGTAGGCAAAAAGTAAAACTGACAAATTAGCATTTGCTAGTCTGAAATGACCAAAAAATAAAATATTGTTCTCACTCTTAATATTACTAGAGCTGTTTCTAGTATTATGCTTTTAATATATCCATGGATTTCTAAGATTACTAATCAACTTGATTAGAATGAGATACAGGGAACTGAACTTACCCCACTGTTCAGTTAGCCCTACCAAAAACGTGATATTTAGAAGGGAAGGGAAGATATGGCTAACCTTCTGTTTAATTTCTTCATGCTGTGTTTGCAGTACTTCAAACTGGAATGCTTCTCTCATCAGACTATCTTCTGTACTGCTTCCTGTTGCAGAAAAAAGCCAAGATGTGCTCTGAAGCACGGATGATGCGTGTAAGTCACTGATGACTTAACATCAAAGTTTTATTTGCCATTACCTACATCTAAATATCTTAATATTTATCCTGTCACTACAAACAAGTAAATTGCGCGCATCTGATCAACACAGTCACTTTTTTAGTGCTTGTGCATCAATCCTTAAAATAGAGGTGAAAAACCCTCCCCCCAAACATTTCTAATATCTTAAAACAGTAAGATGGCCCACAGCAAGTGCAATCATTTGCTCCAAGATAATTTCAGTTAACACACCCTGCACAAATAAGGGTTAAATGAAAACTTTTTGACCTGGAGAGATTACAAATGTTAGCATTGCTAAAACATACTTACAGCAGGTAAGCGTCTCTACTTAATTATAAACAAAACCCTGTAACCTGTATGCTTTTTCAAAGTAAATCTGAAAATCAACTGTTAATATGAGACATATTATGCACTTACTAGTGAAAGTTAACGGCTAAGGAAAAAAAAAAATGAATCTGGTGACCAACATGGATGGTACTATAAACGATACTTAGAGAATGTTAAAAATTTATGGAACTCGTTTGTTTTATTTAACACGTTTAACATGCAGTATCAATGCTACAGGTAAGTGTTGCCACACACATTACCAGTGAACAGGTTCCCAGTCCTGTCAGTTTAATGCCATGTGACTGCTTGGACATTATTTCTTCGCATCTGAACTAGCTCTTTAAGCACGTGGCATAGCCCCAGGAAGTTCTGATAGCCAGATGGGGTCATCAGAAGCAATTACTAACGGGATAACAAACATTTTCCCCAAGGGTTTAATAGCGCAGGGCGACTTCAGGAACCCAGGTGACAGCAACAACCGCATCGCCTCTGACCCGAGGCCGGGCTGTCCAGGCTAAGGCACACACACCTCGCGCCGCGCAGGAGAACCACCGGCGGTACTCGCGTTACACCGCCAAACCCCGGTAGGGCCGAACCACGTTCCCCTCCCCGGCGCGCCCCGGGCGCCGCACAGACACACCGACCTTGCAGC